GAGGATTCCCTATAAAATTGCTTGTTGCATACCAAGGATCTATCCAAGAAGACTGAAAATAATTGCAGATTTTGGGAGGCACTCATTTCCATTAATTCACTCTCTTGAATATGGATATTAAGCTTTCTGCTAAGATCCTAGCTTCACTTATCTACAAATCCCTTCCATTACTGGTGAAAGCGGTGCAGGCAAGTTGTGTAATAGGTAACCTCCTGACAGGGTCCAATATTTTCTACACCTGGTCCAGAACATGACCTGATTCTTGATTTGGATGCCAAAATGTGTAGACTGGGGTATGCTGAGGATACGAATCATGCATCTTGCAAACATTCTTATTTTTAGGTCCTATATACTAGGACCTAAAGATATCTAAAGGAACAAGGAGGGGGTTTCCTCTCTTTTTTTTTGCTCTTGTGATTAAGTAATAAGGTGATGCTGGATCTGTCCCCCTTCGGCTCTAAGGGTAAGAACTCAGCAGTCACATGACTGTTGTTCGCTGAGTTCTCCTCTCCACTCTGAGCAGAGAGCGGTGACTGTTAGTCACCGCTCTCTGCTGTGCCCCCCCCCAGTCTCCATGGAGTGGTGGGCTGTGGAGGGGGAGGGAGCGGCTGGCTCAGGCTCTCATTGCTTCACTGAGAGGCTGAGCCAGATGCCACTCCAGACTTTGGGGTGGATCCTGACTTTGGAGTCGGGATCTGTCTCCAGTCTTGACCAGCAGAGCGATGTCAGCCAACAGCAGACTTCAGTCCGCTGTCAGCTGAAAATGGGTCACCGGAGTGCAGAACGAACTGCACTCCTGTGATCCACAGTACTTCTCCTTTAAAATCCAATCTGTTATACCTCATTTTATCTGGCAAGGTAAAAAAACACAGATTTAATAGCAATTTGCTGTGCAGTCTGGTGATTGACAGGGGTTCACAACAACTTGAACTACCATAAATCCCCTACTCTGGGTCAGTTCAAACGCTGGTGGAACCCAAATTGTACAAAAATGTGGGTCCACATGGAAAGTGTCTTGTCAGGATATGACCTTTCTTCTGTTTTGCGAGCCCTTCTTCTGAACACCAAATGTAATAAAGTATACATACTTTATTCTGTGAATATCTTGCTTGAGACATGGTAATCCTTTCACAAAAAAGGGACAACTCTCTTTGAAACAATTACTAGAATTCCCAAGTACAACATTTCTGATACATGCTTAGACAAATAGATAGTGGGTGGTGTAACAAAACTTGACGAACTGTTAGAGGATGTCATATTTGGCTTTGCTGATTTAACTGTAAAATATGATCAAAAATATGAACCAAACTCAAAGATTGGAGGTTTTTCCTTTTTCTGTATGCTTTGCTTCTGTCATAATGGCTTGACCTGATGCTGAAATTGGAAGAAGACCTGGTTGCCACATTCACAGAGGAACAACGGGCAAGAGTCTAAATATGGCCTTACAAAGCACCTCATTTACCATTGTACTGGACACATCCGCACAAAAAATGTACTTATATGTTACTATACACCTAGTAGAATGTCCAAGATAGTTTTCATTATCCTTAGACATGTTGAAGAGACTGCAGAGACTTTTTTGGAAACAAACCTTTCTTTTAATTACCTCCATAGTGAAGTTTTATTTTCTTGGGAGACCAGAACTGGCCATATTGTGACTGGGCTCAGAGTAGTTCATTAAAACAGAAAGATTCTTCACGCTTTATATCTTACCAGCAGGCAAACATTGTATCTCTGGACTTTAGAAGCATCCAGACCTTGCTTTATTTCAAACTAAATTGTTGAATTCAGGCTCTATCAAACTTCTGTTATGTTTGGTCACTATAGCTTCCTTACCCAAAATAAACCTTTCATTGTTACCTGACCACTAACCTTCTTCATTAAATTATTATGTTTATCCTTGAAAATGAAATTATTCTCATTATGTCTATAGACATTATGCAGAAACTAGAAGTGTCTGTTTATGGCCTTGAGCTATATCACACTGCCTGTTAATGGAGTTATGTGTAACTTTTCCTTTTGTTTGGTTGTGCTGCCAAGCACAGAGATGCATAAATGCAAGTTATAAAAGTTAAAAAAAAGGAGAAAAGTGAACACTGCAATGTATTGTAACTATGCACTACAATGCATGTGCAGTAAACACACCAGATATGCACACTACAGTGCGCCAACACATGTAACATGCACTACTACAATGTGTGTAGTGCACATGTGTACTTTATTTACACTACACACACTTTTTATGAATGGCTGCATTAGACAGCTTGTCCGCCACATCTATTCATTAATCAGAAAAGTCTAGGGGACCCTTTACTATAAGCTTAAAAGCCACCATGAGTTTATAGACTTGGGAAAAGCAGCTGCCATCAGTGTTAAGCCATCCAGCTGCAAGCACTTCTAATAAACAAAAATGGCGCAAAGGGTGATTGGCCAAAGAGCTAGCAATTAATCTTGCTGTTGACTCAGATAGTATTCCTATTAAGTCCAAAAAAGACACCACCATTGTATTCACAAAGCTAAAACATAGTTTGCTATCTGATCCTAATCTCTTTGTATGCAGTTTGTCAGCTCTCCCTATCCTCTCCTTACTTCAGCTTCAATGCATTTACAATATGGCTGCTCTGGGGACCCTTTTTCAATTAGAGGCCTGGCTTATCCACAGTACCCTTACAAGCTGTGCTAAGTCAGATTGTCATGGCTAAAATGATTTGCAAAGCATTCTGGTTAAAAAAAAAAAAAATCCCAGAAAATTTTGTACACAAATTTGCTGAGACAATGAATTCTGACTCAAATCTAAACCTCCTCATACATCAACAATCAGTTGGAGTCTGATTCACTCAGTCATCATCATTCATCTTGGTCACTCTAAGGCTGATTACTAAAGGGGCTAAAAGTTGAGTTTCACTTCAATGATCCAGTCCAAAAAAAATCTGTTTACTCATTTCTGCACAGTATTAGATAACTAAAGTGAATATTCCCACATTTTAACTCCTATAGTGAATCAGTCTCAATGTCTAGGACAATTACCAGTAGCTGTTGATTGCTGTTAAGAAAAACATTGAGTACTCCCTCTAAAAATTAATAGTTATTAACCACTTGCCCTCCAGAGAATTTACCCCCTTCCTGACAAGGCTTTTTTTTGCTATTCGGTTCTGCTGTATTCAAACAAAATTTACGTCCTTCTTTTTCACACAAATAGAGCTTTCTTTTGGTGGTATTTGATCAACTGCTTTTTATTTTTTGCACTAGAAACAAAAAAAGACCAAACATTTAAAAAAAAAACATTTTTTTTTTATTTTTGCTATAAAAATATATAGTAGACTCAAAGGTAGTTATAAATTTAGGCCAAAATGTATTCTGCTACATGTCTTTGGTAAAACAAAAATCCCAATAAATGTATATTGATTGCTTTGTGTGATAGTTATACTGTCTACAAGCTATGGTATAGATACTGCAATTTACTCCATTTTTTGCTATACAGCGCTGCGCTAGTTAACTGACAATTGTGCGGTCATTCAATACTGTACATAAATTAAATATGTGTCCTTTTTTTCACACAAATAGAGCTTTCTTTTGGGGGTATTTGATCATCTCTGTGTTTTTTTTTTTTTTGCTATAAACAAAAAAAGTACCAAACATTTTGAAAAAAAAAAAAAAACAATATTTTCTTATTTCTGTCACACAAAATATCCAAAAAACTCAAATTTCATTATACATTTAGGCCAAAATGTATTTTGCTATATGTCTTTGGTAAGAAAAAAAAAAAAATCCCAATAGGTGTATATTAATTGGTTGGTGTGAAGGTTAAAGAGTCTACAAACTATGGTATAGATACTGCAATTTAAGCCATTTTTTGCTATACAGCGCTGCGCTAGTTTAACTGACAATTGCGTGGTCATGAAATACTGTACATAAATGATATTTATGTTCTTTTTTCACACAAATAGAGCTTTCTTTTGGTGGCATTTGATCACCTCTGGGGTTTTTTTTTTTTTTTGTGTTATAAACAAAAAAAGACTGACATTTTGGAAAAAAAAACAATACTTTCTCATTTCTGTCATAAAAAATATCCAAAAAACTAAAATTTTCGTCCTAAATTTAGACCAAAATATTTTTTGCTACATGTCTTTGGTAAAAAAAAATCCCAATAACTGCATAGTAACTGGTTTGTGTGAAAGTTATAGCATCTACCAACTATGGTATAGATACAGGAATTTACACAGCTTTTACTTTCTCACTGCCTATTACATTTCCTGAGGTGCTAAAATGCCAGGGCAGTACATACACCCCCAAATGACCCGATTTTGGAAAGTAGACACTCTAATCTATCTGCTGAGAGGCATGTTGAGACCATGGAAGGTTTATTTTTTTTTCCACAAGTTTTTGGAATATAACAAACATTTGTTTTTTTTTACACAAAGTTGTCACTTAAATGATATATTGCTCACACATGCCATGGGAATATGTGAAATTACACCCCAAAATACATTCTGCTACTTCTGCTGAGTTTAGGGATACAACTTGTGAGCATTTTTGGGAGCCTAACCACATACAGGAGCCCAAAATCCAATGACCACTTTGAAAGCCTGAAAGTGCGTAACCTGCAAGCTGGAGGAGGAGGCTGTCAAAACTAAACATCTGTAGAAAGGCGGGAGGAGGAGAAATTGTCCCATGGGTGCCACACTGCCTCGAACACAGGAATCGAACAGGCGTGTATAGCAGTCAGGTACTCCATCTGTCGCACATCAGCAATAGTTTTAAACAACATTGACATCAAAGGAGGCATAGAAGATAGCCAACACATAGGAATGCTTCTTCTGGCCGCAGTCAGAATAGGTGTGGAGAGTTTCCTGGCCATTCTGGGAAGTAGAGATGAGCGAATTATTCAAAAATTCGATTCGGCTGATTCGGCGAATTCGTGGAATAAATTTGATTCGAGTCGAATATATTCGCTGCGAATTTAACTTATAAAAGGGGTGTTTCTAGTCTTCAGAGAGCCTTTATATTAGTGCAGAACACTGTACCTTTAATTTAAATGCCCTTGGAGTCTGCTGGGGAAGAGAAATAATACTGTCAGTCAGTATGACATGCAGATGAGTGCCGTCGATCTTAGAATCACCGCACACTTCACTCATTTGGGCAGTCACAGGGCCAAAACCAGAGTGTGGAGCCACAGTGTGGCGGTGGAGGCAGCAGCAATGGGAGGCCATACAGCACCCTATGAAAAAATGGATCCCACCAGCAGTGTGAGGAGACCTGAAAGTGGCACATGGCAGAGTGTGGCGATGGAGACAGCAGCAATGGGAGGCCGTACAGGGACCCATGACACACTCTGGACCTGGCAGCAGCATGAGGAGGCGGTACAGGGGCCCATGACAGATTACGGGCCTGGCAGCAGCATGAGGAGTCGGTACGGGGGCCCATGGCAGATTACGGGCCTGGCAGCAGCAATGGGAGGCCATACAGCACCCTATGACAAAATGGAACCCACCAGCAGTGTGAGGAGACCTGAAAGTGGCACATGGCAGAGTGTGGCGATGGAGACAGCAGCAATGGGAGGCCGTACAGGGACCCATGACACACTCTGGACCTGGCAGCAGCATGAGGAGGCGATACAGGGGCCCATGACAGATTACGGGCCTGGCAGCAGCATGAGGAGTCGGTACGGGGGCCCATGGCAGATTACGGGCCTGGCAGCAGCAATGGGAGGCCCGTAATCTGCCAGCACCCTATGACAAAATGGAACCCACCAGCAGTGTGAGGAGACCTGAAAGTGGCACATGGCAGAGTGTAGCGATGGAGACAGCAGCAATGGGAGGCCGTACAGGGACCCATGACACACTCTGGACCTGGCAGCAGCATGAAGGAGGCGGTACAGGGGCCCATGACAGAACGGGCCTGGCAGCAGCATGAGGTACGGGGGCCCATGGCAGATTACGGGCCTGGCAGCAGCATGGGAGGCCCGTAATCTGCCAGCACCCTATGACAAAAATGGAACCCACCAGCAGTGTGAGGAGACCTGAAAGTGACACATGGCATGTGGCGATGGAGACAGCAGCAATGGGAGGCCGTACAGGGACCCATGACACACTCTGGACCTGGGCAGCCTGAGGAGGCGGGGGTACAGGGGCCCATGACAGATTACGGGCCTGGCAGCATGAGGAGTCGGTACGGGGGCCCATGGCAGATTACGGGCCTGGCAGCAGCAATGGGAGGCCCGTAATCTGCCAGCACCCCCTATGACAAAAATGGAACCACCAGCAGTGTGAGGAGACCTGAAAGTGGCACATGGCAGAGTGTGGCGATGGAGACAGCAGCAATGGGAGGCCGTACAGGGACCCGTTGACACACTCTGGACCTGGCAGCAGCATGATGAGGAGGCGGTACAGGGGCCCATGACAGATTACGGGCCTGGAGCAGCAGCATGAGGGGAGTCGGTACGGGGGGCCCATGGCAGATTACGGGCCTGGCAGCAGCAATGGGAGGCCGTACAGGGACCCATGACACACTCTGGGACCTGGCAGCAGCATGAGGAGGCGGTACAGGGGCCCATGACAGATTACGGGCCTGGCAGCAGCATGAGGAGTCGGTACGGGGGCCCATGGCAGATTACGGGCCTGGCAGCAGCAATGGGAGGCCCGTAATCTGCCAGCACCCTATGACAAAATGGAACCCACCAGCAGTGTGAGGAGACCTGAAAGTGGCACATGGCAGAGTGTGGCGATGGAGACAGCAGCAATGGGAGGCCGTACAAAATGGACCCATGACACACTCTGGACCATGGGCAGCAGCATGAGGGAGGACCCATGGTACAGGGGCCCATGACAGATTACGGGGCCTGGCAGATTACGGGCAGCATGAGGAGTCGGTACGGGGGCCCATGGCAGATTACGGGCCTGGCAGCAGCAATGGGAGGCCGTACAGGGACCCATGGACACACTCTAGACCTGGCAGCAGCATGAGGAGGCGGTACAGGGGCCCATGACAGATTACGGGCCTGGCAGCAGCAGCATGAGGAGTCGGTACGGGGGCCCATGGCAGATTACGGGCCTGGCAGCAGCAATGGGAGGCCCGTAATCTGCCAGCACCCTATGACAAAATGGAACCCACCAGCAGTGTGAGGAGACCTGAAAGTGGCACATGGCAGTGTGTGGCGATGGAGACAGCAGCAATGGGAGGCCGTACAGGGACCCATGACACACTCTGGACCTGGCAGCAGCAAGAGGAGGAGGTTGTACAGGGGGCCCATGGCAGAGTCTGGCGAAGCGTAAGCAGCTTAAATTGAAGGCCATACAGAGGCCTATGTTAAAAATAATAACATGTTTGGGGCATGATTCATGACAGATTTAGTCAGTTGTGTCAGGAACTGGTGGTTTGAAATCCAGACTAATCCACGCCTGATTCATTTTCACAAACGTGAGTCTCTCCACACTTTGGGTGGACAGTCGTGTCCTCCGCGGAGTTACAATACCTCCTGCCGCACTAAACACGCGCTCCGATGCCACGCTACTGGCCGGGGCATGACAGCCTTTCAAGGGCAAATTCAGCTAGTTGGGGCCAAAGGTCAAGTTTCGTTGCCCAGTAGTCAAGGGGATTGTCTACCTCGGTTGGCAGGGTGCTGTCCAAGTAGGCCCAAGCCTGTTGTTTGAGGTCCTGCTCCAGGTCCACCTGATGCTGCTGCTGCTGCGGCTGGTTAGTAGTTTCCTCACTGCGCTGGTGAAGAAAGCTACTCATCATCGACTGCAGACTGAGGCAGCCGCTGCTGGTGGAGCTGCCACTGCTCCTACCACCCCACCCCTGGAGCGGGGGCTGGGGCAGGCAGAACCGCCGTATCTTTATCACGGTTTTCCCAGGCCACCGAATGGCGAACGCTGCATATGCTGACGCAACGCTGTAGTCCCAACATGGGCCCCCTGGCCACGCTTGACTTTCTGACCACATAGTCGACATACGGCTACGTTTACTTCCTCGGGCGGCTTGACGAAAAATTGCCACACCGCCGAGTAGGAAACTTTGCCCCCGCTACTCCTCACTGGCTGACTGCTACTTCCTCCGTGCATACCGGCACCACTACTGGCCGTGGTGGTAGGCTGCAGTGGAGCTGGTGCTCTACTCCGTGGCCGTTTGCCTCCACTGACACTGCTGCGACCCTGCTGCCTCCTGGGCAACCCACCGACTGTTTTGCTCGCTGCCAAGCTGCCACCCTCTTCTCCTGATGATGCGGAAGCAATAGCCTGATGACGACGAGGCTGCCAAGTGCGATCAGCCTCATCATCATCAATTAGGGTCTCCGCCTCACTACTAGCCCCCTCGGCTGCGTGTGGGTCAGGAGACAGACCTGTCTCTAGACCGGCTACCGAGCCACTCTCCTCGCCAGTACTTCTTCGCCTGGCTGCTGAAGAGGCGGATGTCTCCCCCCGTTCCTGACCGCCCTCTGTTAGCTCTTCCTCACTGTACAGTGGGGCTGAGCCCACAGCATGCGATACTTCGCTTGGTGAGGGAACACCAAAGGACAGGGGCAGGTCGAGGACACGTGATTTCAGTGGGCTTGCTCCCGGGCCATGCCAACTAACGGTTGTGTCTGACGTACCCACCGACCGTTGGCTGTAGGTGTCAGAGGTGACCTGGGAAGAGGGAAACGACGACCGAGCCAACCAATCGATGACGGCAGGGTTGTCGGTGGAGACACGACCGCTGGATGACACCGGGAGCACTGGCCTCTGGCTGCGACTAGTGCTGCCTCGACCCCTTCCTCTGCTGCCACGTCTGCTCGCTCCTAAAACATTGCCTCCTCTGCCACTCCTCTGCGTGTTGTCTGACATACTCTTTAATTCAACGATTCTGTGTCCCTGAGTAACAATTCTTGTCCTCTGAGTAACGATTCTGTGTCCCTGAGTAACAATTCTGTGTCCCTGAGTAACAATTCTGTGTCCCTCAGTAACGATTCTGTGTCCCTGAGTAACAATTCTGTGTCCCTGAGTAACAATTATGTGTCCCTGAGTAACAATTCCTGTGTCCCTCAGTAACGATTCTGTGTCCCTGAGTAACGATTCTGTGTCCCTGAGTAACGATTCTGTGTCCCTGAGTAACAATTCTGTGTCCCTCAGTAACGATTCTGTGTCCCTCAGTAACGATTCTGTGTCCCTGAGTAACATTTCTGTGTCCCTGAGTAACAATTCTGTGTCTGTCCCTGAGTAACAATTCTGTGTCCCTGAGTAACAATTCTGTGTCCCTGAGTAACGATTCTGTGTCCCTCAGTAACAATTCTGTGTCCCTGAGTAACAATTTGTGTGTCCCTGAGTAACAATTCTGTGTCTGTCCCTGAGTAACAATTCTGTGTCCCTGAGTAACAATTCTGTGTCCCTGAGTAACAATTCTGTGTCCCTCAGTAACAATTCTGTGTCCCTCAGTAACAATTCTGTGTCCCTGAGTAACGATTCTGTGTCCCTGAGTAACGATTCTGTGTCCCTCAGTAACAATTCTGTGTCCCTGAGTAACAATTTTGTGTCCCTCAGTAACGATTCTGTGTCCCTCAGTAACGATTCTGTGTCCCTGAGTAACAATTCTGTGTCCCTGAGTAACAATTCTGTGTCCCTGAGTAACAATTCTGTGTCTGTCCCTGAGTAACAATTTTGTGTCCCCGAGTAACAATTCTGTGTCCCTGAGTAACAATTTGTGTCCCTGAGTAACAATTCTGTGTCCCTGAGTAACAATTCTGTGTCTGTCCCTGAGTAACAATTCTGTGTCCCTGAGTAACAATTCTGTGTCCCTCAGTAACAATTCTGTGTCCCTCAGTAACGATTCTGTGTCCCTGAGTAACAATTCTGTGTCCCTGAGTAACAATTCTGTGTCCCTCAGTAACGATTCTGTGTCCCTCAGTAACAATTCTGTGTCCCTGAGTAACAATTCTGTGTCCCTGAGTAACAATTCTGTGTCCCTGAGTAACGATTCTGTGTCCCTGAGTAACGATTCTGTGTCCCTCAGTAACAATTCTGTGTCCCTCAGTAACAATTCTGTGTCCCTGAGTAACAATTCTGTGTCCCTGAGTAACAATTCTGTGTCCCTGAGTAACGATTCTGTGTCCCTGAGTAACGATTCTGTGTCCCTCAGTAACAATTCTGTGTCCCTGAGTAACAATTCTGTGTGAGTAACAATTCTGTGTCCCTGAGTAACAATTCTGTGTCCCTGAGTAACGATTCTGTGTCCCTCAGTAACAATTCTGTGTCCCTGAGTAACAATTCTGTGTCCCTGAGTAACAATTCTGTGTCTGTCCCTGAGTAACAATTCTGTGTCCCTGAGTAACGATTCTGTGTCCCTGAGTAACAATTCTGTGTCCCTGAGTAACAATTCTGTGTCCCTCAGTAACAATTTCTGTGTCCTGAGTAACAATTCTGTATCGGTCCCTGAGTAACGATTCTGTGTCCCTGAGTAACAATTCTGTGTCCCTGAGTAACAATTCTGTGTCCCTGAGTAACGATTCTGTGTCCCTGAGTAACGATTTTGTGTCCCTGAGTAACGATTCTGTGGCCCCTAAAGTCTCTGTGGCCCTAACTCTCTCCCTAATACAGACAGGTCTGTCTCTCTTGAATGACCGGAGGCTAATGGAGAATTCTAAGATGGCCGCAATTTATAGCTCCACCATTACACAGTGCTGGCTGGCTGGCTGCTGATTGGCTAATGCGATCACATGTCATGAATGAATGCATTATGGGTCAGCGCGCCTTGTCTGCGCGCCTTCCCAGAGATCCCCGCTCCGTCGCCACACATGTCGCCGCCATTTTTGGGAAAATTTGATTCGTGCATCCGAAATTTGCTAATTTTCGGATTCGGCGCGAATCGAATTTTTCCTGATCTTCAGAACGAATTCCACTTCGCCATGTTCGATTCGCTCATCTCTACTGGGAAGACCCGGAAAAGGCAGGCTCAGTAAAAAGTGCAGAGGCTCAAAAGGGAGAGAGGTCTGCAATAACAATTGTAAAAAAGATAAAACCTCTTTCCAAAAAGGGACAATGGAACCACAAGTCCAAAAAATATGGAAGAGGGAGCCAATGTCCTTCCCACAATGCCAGCAAGCAGAAGAAGCACTCGGATTAAAGGCATGAACAACTTTGGGAGTTTTGTACCACTTGCGCATATAGTGATAAGTGTCATTAGCGAGGGGAACAGCATCCCATGAGAATTTTATATATATTAGAAAACTATGCCCTTTTGATGTGGGCCTTGTATACAGAGACACTCAAAGGGAGTAGGACTCCCAAGAGTCAGCATGAGGGATATAGTGGAGAAAAAGTGACATATCTGGAAATATATATAAAAATGGAGGGAGGGCAGATCTTTTTTCTGGAAATATGAGAATGGTTGCACCTTTTGAGTAACTGGATGCACTAGGTGACGAAGCTTGGAAAGTCTGGCCTTGACCAAGGGGCCATTTGGGCACCGCCAGGCTATCTGGAAGGTTGGGGTGCGTTAAAAAGGATATTAATCAGTGGGGAGCAATCAGAGGCTAGTGCAAACCTGGTTTTACATTTCTGCCATATACTCATGGAGAATTGCATGGGGCCAAGGAACAGACAAGAATAGGGGAAAGGTCCACCTTCAAAGATGACCATAGGAGATAACAGGGGTGAGTTGGGGTCAATTGTAAGGATTCTATCTCGGTCCACAGATTGGAAGGGGATAGAGTGGACCATGATGTAAGGAAGCGAAGATGAGTAGCGTAATAATAGGTCACAATATCGGTGCACCCAGGCCTCCTCTAGAACGCAAAGAAAGCAGTACACTACCTGCAATTCTATGTCACTTATTATGCCGATGAAATGTAGAAGAGATTTCTGCAGGGAGTGTAGCTTTGTAATAGGGACAGGGAGGGTCGCAAATAAATACAAAAGTTTGGGTAAAACAGTCATCTTTATGACGTTGATACGTCCCCAAGGATGATAAGGGTAGAGTATCCCAAGATTTCAGGGAATGGGAAATAGCTATGAATGGGGGGGGGGGGAGTTGGCGTCATATATTGAACTATAGGAGGAAGTAAGGTTAGTACCCAAATATTTTAGAGAGCGGGTGCACCATCGATACGGAAAAGATTCTTGAAGGGATGAGGGGACAACTGGTGAGATATGGAGTGAGAGTGCTTCAGTCTTGGAAGTGTTAACCTTGTAACCCAAGAGGGCTCAAACTGTCGTAAAGGTTTATGCAGTGTTAGGAGGGAGATTTGAGGGTTCGAGAGTGTAAGGAGAATATCATCCGCAAAAAAGAGACAATTTGTATTCACGACCATGAGACGTTCCGCCTTGAATATCAGGATGGGACTGGATTGCAATAGACAGTGGTTCCAAACAGAGAATAACCAACAGAGGAGAGAGAGGACATCCCTGACACATACCATTCGACATCTGGAAGGGGGCGAGAGAAAGAAGGCCATTCTGACCTGCGAGGAAGGATGAAAATAGAGAGCTTTCAGAGCTGCCACAAAAGGTCCATTGAAGCCAAACTTCTCCAAAACCATAAACATATAAGGCCAGCTGACACGATTGAATGCTTTTTGGGCATCCAAGCTCAATAGAATGGCAGGAATAGAAAACAAGTTAACCAAGTCAACCAGATCAATAGATCTCCTGGTGTTGTCCGCTGCATGTCTAGCTGGGACAAAGCCTACTTAGTCTCTGTGTATGAGTTTGGAGATGAGTCTAGACAGCCGATTGGCTAGGATCTTAGTAAAAATCTTGTAATCAGAATTCAGCAGAGCAATAGGATGGTAGTTATCCAGGATAGAATGATCCTTGTCAGGTTTGGGAATTACAGAGATGTATGCACCGGAGAAGTCTGCTTGTGGAGTAATACCTTTAAAAAGGTTGTGATAGAAAGAGAGAAGGTGGAGAGCCAGGGTACCAATGAAAGTCTTATAATAAGAGTAGGGGAAGACCGTCTGGTCCCGGGGTTTTGCATGAGGGGAGATGTTTGACTGTATTAAACAATTCTTCCAGCGAGATGTCAGTGTTAAGAGCCGCAATATCAGAAGACGAAAGCTTAGGCAATAATAGAGGGTCAAAACCTATCAAAAGAGATCTCTGTGAGAGGAGGGTGTTGGTCTGGAGTCAAACAGTTATAGAGGGATTCATAATATGAGCCAAAAAAGAGAGACCATTACATGAGGATCATAAGTAGGGCTTCCATTCGGCTGGACAAGACGGTCCGGCACCATAGAGGGGATTGGGCTTTAAGTCTATTAACGAGCATACGGTGAGGTTTCTTAGAGAATTCATAGAATTTCTGCCTGACCCAAAGAAGAGATCTCATGGACCTACATGGATCAAGGGCCTTGATTTGGTCACGAAGAGAAGTTACTCTATACAGCCCAGAAATAGACGGTTTTGCAAGGAGTCTACGTTCAGCCAGAGTTAACTGGTGGACTAGAGCAATCCTGGCAAACTCCGAGGGACCTCTTCAGGCGAGAGCCCATAGAGATACAAAGGCCCACAAAATACAGCCTTATGGGCTTCCCATACGGTTGAGGTAGATGTTTACAGAGCCTGCATTAAGTTGAAAGTACATATCAAGTCCTTGAGAGAGCACTGTACGGAGATGTTCTGTGGATAAAAAGGTCTCATTAAGGAGCCAATGGCCTGTTTTTGGAATAACATTAGAGAATAACATGTTTAGGGTCAAAGAAGCATGGTCAGACCAGGTGATGGGATTAACGTCAGAAGAGACTAGAAGAGGGAGAAGGGAAGCTGTAATGAAAAATGATCTAGGCGGGAGTAACTACGATGAGGTGTAAAGTAAAAAGTTAATTGTTTGTGGGTAGGATGTGGGATTCGGCAGGCGTCAAAGAGACAATGCTCCCTGATCAATTTGTGGAAGGATTTTGAGGAGGAGCATTGCCGCTTCGAAGAAGTGGACTCAAAGAGAACCTTCCTATCTTTGTGAGGTGAAAGGATTAAATTAAAATTACCCCCAATAATCATATGTGGAGTGGAGAAGGACCTTAATTTAGCAAGCATTTTGTGTGAGGAACTGTAACTGACCTGAATTCGGGGCATAGAGATTCATTAAAATAAGGGCACCGAGCATACATTCTAATATAATAAAGTGACCATGTTGATCAACCTTGAAGGAAACAACCCGAAGGGAGCAGTGTGTCCAAATGAGGATTGCCACCCCAGCCTTGCCAGATGGGTTGAAGGCTGAATAGGATTGGGAAAAATACCTAGTGGCAAAAAGAAAAAAGCCTGTCGATTTAAAATGGGTCTCCTGGACAAAAATAATATCTGCTCCTGAGGATCGGAATTCCTTCAAAGCCATTCACCGTTTCTGGACAGAATTAAGGCCTTTAACATTATAGGATAAAAGTCGTAAAGCCATCACAAAATGACGAGTGTAGCAAATGTACCAGCAAAAAAGATAAATGAAATACCATCGATGAGATAAAGCAGAGAACTGATAACATTAATAGACAAACCAAGAAAAATAACAATAAGGAACAGAGATATCCATATGGATATGAACTTGGGAAAGACAACGGCACCCAAGTCGTCCAGGCAAATTTCTGCAGGGGATCGGGGGCAACATGACAACCGGAACATATCAATAGGCAAACCCAGCCAAAAAGATACAGCATAAGAAAGCACCCAGGGAGGGAGAGAGGGAGGGTGAAGAAGAAAAGGGAGAGAGGGGGGGAGAGGGAGGAAAGGGAAGAGGGTAGGAAGGGGAGGAAGGGAGGGAAGAAAAAGGAAGGGGGGGTGGAGAGGAGATGGGAGGAGGTAGGGATACAACCTTGTAGTGCCCACAGAAGAACACCTCAAAGAAACATCAAGCAGGATTATCGCTGGAACGAAGGGGACGAGGGCGTTGTGGAGTACGTGAAGGACGCTTCCAGCCCCTACGAACTGGAGTCCAGATCTTGCTGGGGGGGGTAGCGGAAGGACGAGACGGAGTAGATGGTAATGAGGAATTGTCTTCCAGCAATGGAGGTAGTCCCAGTTGCTTCAGGAAGGAGTCCGCCTCAAAAAGATCACGTAGAATAACTTGAGAGTTATCTTTGGAGACGACCAGCTTGAAGTGAAAACCCCAGCGGTAAGGGATACGATGGTGTTGAAGATACGTGGTGAGTGGCTTCAGCGCTTGCCGTTTAGCCTGGGTAATCGGAGAGAGATCACAAAATAGATGAAGCCGGTCCCCTTTAATTTCCAGGGAGGGAACGTTGCGTACAGAGGCCAACAAGGCTTCCTTGCTCTCAAAAAAATTGAAGCGGATGATGACATCACGTGGTCTGGTGCCGTCAGCCGGTCTCGGACCCAAAGAACGGTGGGCCCTGTCCATGCACCACTCCGCTTCTGGGACCAGGGGGCGGTTGCGATGAAAAAGGACAGGAGGTGTCGGTGAGGTTGGGAATCGGCAATGGATTCAGATATACCTCGAATACGGACATTTTACCGGCGTTCCCTGTTTTCCAAATCTTCTTGTTGGAGCTGAATTTGGGACATGGTGTTTCAGATACGCATTGTCTTCTTCCAAGACATGAACATATTGCACCAATTCATCAAATTTATTCTCCAACTGATGTGCACGCTCCCCTATCTGCACTATTTCCCCACAAAGATCCAAGGCAAATTGGCCCACTTCAGCGGAAATAGTGGTGGTAATATTGCGCAAAAATACCTGCAATTTTTCTTCTAGCGTAGATATCGTGAGAGTAGGTGACACATGGGAATTGGCGAGAGTGGATGGAGAAGGGCTCATCAAAGCATGTTCTGCTGTCCCCTCTATAGGGATCTGGGGTTCGGATTCCTCTATATCAGTGATGGCGAACCCGTGGCACGCGTGCCACAGCCGGCACGCCGAGCCTTATCTGTGGGCACGCCAGGAGAATCCAGCGGCGCGCTGTCTTCCCGGCTGTAGTGTGCTTGACAGCCGGGGTCCCAAGTGCGCATGCACAAGAAGCAGTGCTCTTTGTGAAAGGTAAGGTGGTACCTGGGACACATGACAGATCCCAGAAGCCGCCGGACCAATCACAAAGCACAGCGCTTGTCGCGCATGCGCACTGGGCATCCGGCTGTCCCGACGAGCGCCCACACTACAGAAGCCGGGAAGACAGCGCGCGGCTGGATAAAGGAACAGGGAAGATGAAAAAAAAACTCTGCGGAAGTAAGAGCGGGTACCTGTCAAATTCAGGTACCCTCTCCCCCCCTGTCCGCTGTCCGCAGTCTCTGGTCATCCCCTGTACTGTGTCCGCAGTCTCTGGTCATCCCCTGTACTGTGTCCGCAGTCTCTGGTCATCCCCTGTACTGTGTCCGCAGTCTCTGGTCATCCCCTGTACTGTGTCCGCAGTCTCTGGTCATCCCCTGTACTGTGTCCGCAGTCTCTGGTCATCCCCTGTACTGTGTCCGCAGTCTCTGGTCATCCTCTGTACTGTGTCCGCAGTCTCTGGTCATCCCCTGTACTGTGTCCGCAGTCTCTGGTCATCCCCTGTACTGTGTCCGCAGTCTCTGGTCATCCCCTGTACTGTGTCCGCAGTCTCTGGTCATCCCCTGTACTGTGTCCGCAGTCTCTGGTCATCCCCTGTACTGTGTCCGCAGTCTCTGGTCATCCCCTGTACTGTGTCCGCAGTCTCTGGTCATCCCCTGTACTGTGTCCGCAGTCTCTGGTCATCCTCTGTACTGTGTCCGCAGTCTCTGGTCATCCCCTGTACTGTGTCCGCAGTCTCTGGTCATCCCCTGTACTGTGTCTGCAGTCTCTGGTCATCCCTGTACTGTGTCCGCAGTCTCTGGTCATCCCTGTACTGTCCGCAGTCTCTGGTCATCCCTGTACTGTGTCCGCAGTCTCTGGTCATCCCTGTACTGTGTCCGCAGTCTCTGGTCATCCCTGTACTGTGTCCGCAGTCTCTGGTCATCCCTGTACTGTGTCCGCAGTCTCTGGTCATCCCTGTACTGTTAATTAGTTTGCACTACTGTACGAGTTGTTTTTTCTAAACCAAAAGCTCGATATTCAGGTTTCATTGCAGTGTTGGCACTTTGAAAGAAATAAGTTGGTTTTGGGTTGCAGTTTGGGCACTCGGGCTCAAAAAGGTTCGCCATCACTGCTCTATATGGTGTTGCTGAGGGAGTGAGGAGGTTGGCTGCATTGTGGAGGCAGCTGATGTAGTACCTCCAGCCACCACTGGGGGGCCCGTCGGAGCTCGTCTGTGGGCGTGAGGAGGTTGGCTGCATTGTGGAGGAGGCTGGAAGCAGCTGGTGTAGTACCTTCGGCCACCACTGGGGGCCCGTCGGAGCTCGTCTGTGGGATCCCTGCCGAAATTGAGGCCGGGGATTGTGGCCTATGAATAAACTGCTGCAACAGTGACCTAGCGGCGGAGGGGGGCTTCCAGCGCCCGAACTTCCCCATTATAAGACTGGGGTCTGGTGCGCTGGGTGCCCTGCTACTGTGACTCACCCAGGGACGGTTATGGAGCTGTGGGTGAATCTCTTAGACCGAGGAGAGGAACGGAGCTCACAGGGATGCAGAAATCAACATTCCCAGCCCTGCATGGGCCTAACCTGCCATGTTGAAGGTTAGGCCCAAAAAAACTTTAAATTTGGAAACCATAAAAGGTTTCCATGCATATGGTGTGGCAAGGTTTGAATCTGGGTTGGTGGGGATAAACTGTTGGGCATATAAATTGCTTTGAAACACAATTAATGCATACAGATTTTCCTTGAATAACATCTCCAAAAAATCAAGGGAAGTAGTTAAATTAGCTGTTTCCACCTGAATTCAAGGTTGGGCAGTGAATGGGGGAAGTACGGGTGCTGCAGAATTTGTGAGCAGCCAATCAGGATTTGCAAGCACATCCGGAAGGATACTAGAGGCTCTACAGGTCTGTTTGCAAATTCTTGGTGGCTGTGGGGCACTACTTGTGCTAGCCAACGCACCAGCTTGTACTGCACTTATGGGACTCACCACATCACCAAGTGATACTGCAGTGCTGATATGTGAAAGACCAGGTTGTACTAGGCCACTGGGACTTGCCAGTTCACCAGAAGGTAAAGTGGCACTAGCACTGGCATTCTGCTGCATATGAGAATCATCATGCAATTGTAACATCTCAGCAACCTGGGAACGGGGTCCGGTACGCCTGACCTTAGCAGGGACCTCTTCTCCATCATCTGAGCTATCTTTCAGGGTGCAGCTGCTGTCTACAGGTTCGTATTCTGAGGCAGATTCTGTCAGTGAGGCTTCCCCTTCGATCTCATCTGACATGGTCAGAATCCTGTAGGCCTCTTCAGTAGAGTACCTTTCATTGGACATTTTGGCTATTAAATTTATAGATATCTAGTGCGACTCACCGGAAAAAGAGGACCTGGCTGTCAGGGATTGCTTGAAACGCTACAATAAAAATTACCTGCAAGTGTTAGCAGATATCAGGCCTGATTTTGCAAACACTGTGGTTTTGTATGCAATGTATCAAGTGACAGTGATCTACTGACATTGCACTTGCTGGGGAAGAAAGGGGGGGGGGGGGGGGTTAAGCAAAGGGGCTAAACGCAGGTACTGGCAGGTGACGGGGTTGATCCCACTAATGCTGCATTTCTGGGGACAATATACTAATGTGAATGCTGGTATAGTGCTGATCTGATCAAAGATATTGATCCATTCACTATCGCTAGCTGAAGTCGCCGGTGACACTAATACAGTGATCAGTCAAAAAATCTGTACACTGTACTAATGACACTGGTGACAAGGCAGTGAAGGGGTTAACTGGGGGACAATCATGGGGTAAATGTGTCCTGAAAAGTGTTTTAAGTGTAAAAGTGTGCTGTTTTACTCATGTGTATCTGCGTTCCTCTCTCTGGGATGGAATGTGCCCAGAGAGAAGATTTCATAATTTCCTGTACCTGTGTAAGTGTAAACGGTATGGGTCAGATTTTTGTTTGGATCGGTGGCTGGCATCCATCATGATTGATGTTGGATATACTTTGGGGGAAATTTACCCCTCACTTAAAATACTCACCCAATGTTGAGGGCATGTGGCAAGTTTGGGGGACCCCACACTATTTTTTATTTTATTTTGGAGTGGGGTTCCCCTCAAAATCAATTCCAGACCTGGAGGGCTGGTCCCACTCTGTTTTTTAATACAGACAATTCTTTTGTTTGCACTCTGCTGCCAGCGGGTAATCCTGCTGACAGCAGATGAGTTATGGTTGTTAAGGATGAAGCAGCTGCCTGCTCCTTAACAACCAGCTGTTTACTCCTAAGGAGGAGCGTCGGGGGCATGCGGAGCAGCACAGAAACGTTAAGTGGTCGTGGCACACCCAGTGTGTCAGCACCCCAGTTAGTACACCACTGCATAAGGCAGATCGATTACTCAAGGCTTTGAAATAACATTTTCATCCTGTTGCCTTGCCAGAGCAGATGAGAAAAAAAAATAACAATAAAAAAGATGAAGAATCTTCCAGGCCTGACTCTGCAAGGAAGCGACAGAGGACTAAAGATGTGATTTCTGAGAAAACAAAATTGCGCCAAACAGGAAACCTGCAAATATATCAAGACACACTGGTTGTTTATCTAAGGCTGGATCCAAATCTTTAACACCAAGGTTTCAGATTCACAGCAGCAGTCTTTCAGTTCATCTATCATCCAGAGGAGGGAACCCATTCATTTAGGCTGTCCATTCGCTCTTAAGGGGATCTCTGAGCCCTGCTGTGCATTACTTCACCCAAGGCTGATGCTTTACCCCTAAGGGATGTACCACCTGCTGCCAGCCATTCGGGTTGATGGTCACTTATCTGCGCATTTTTAATGAGCGGTTGGTGAGTGCGCATTTCTGCTATATGATTTTTTGGAATCAGTGTATCTCAAAAGAGGAAGCTTTTCATGATTCTGCACAAGATTTTATGAACATTTATTGAACTACATATTATTTATTTATTTTTCAGCGCTGCACTATATTTTACAGCTGTTTACTGGTTGTTAAGGATGCTGGCTGCATTAAAATACCGCTAGTTTCACTACTAAAATACTGCATCACTTCATAAAAGAGATGTTTTACCATAGATTTTAAAGCGGTAGATACCAATTTGTGAATGAAGCCCCACTGCAAGGGATTCTTTTTTAATTGCCCAGGTCTGAGCCTAAACCCAAGAGGAAACATTTAGTACATTACAGCCTATCAATCCTTAGGCTCCATTGGCTTTTTTTCTTAAGGTGTTTTTCCTTTATTTTCATCTGGTTATCCTGCCAGCAACAAACTTTCTTTCTTTAGACAACTCTCACCCATCCTACTGCATCTTTGGAGGAGTAATTTTGACACGCTAGGAGAGGAGGTGTTTAGGACTACAGAACACCTCCCCTTTTTATATTCTCTATAATAAAGGAGGAAGGTGTTTTGTAGTCCACAGAGAGCTGTAACAATGTTAACTGACAGAGAGGGGAGAGCACATAAAGTTACCAACCCACTAGATTTTTAGCAGTATATTTTTGTTTTGCACCTAAAAATAAATAGCATTGATTTCAATGGTATATGAAACAGCTCAAAAAGTAACAAAAAATAAAAGATACCTTTGGGGGTTTACAGTATATGCAACTTAAGTGTATGTACACACTTTCTCCATCCTTGTTAGAATAATTCACCCTCTGTTTGTCTTGGAGACCATTGTCGCCAAGAAAAAAAGAGAATTGATGGAAAGCCCACAATTTTAGAGTTGCCCTTGGAACAATATGTAAGTATAAATCTTCCAAAAGGGAAATCTTTGCCAGTGTCAACTGTCTAAGAGGGAAATTCCTCTCACTTCGTAGAAATTTCCTCTGGCTTCTTGTTACATCTCTCATGGAAAAGTCAAGAACCAAATATAAGGTCAGAACAGGAAGATAAAATACCTAATAACAGGCCAGGGTTAAACTAGTTTGACTATGTGGATAGTCAAAGATAATACCAAAGAATCTGAAGGAAGGTAATTGGAACCTTTTCATCAGCAACATAATACACTGCACAGGGCTACTTTGAAGAAGGCTTTTTTTTTGTAATATTCAAGGCACGCTCACCATTTGTCTGCATGGAGAAAAGTACATACGGCTATAAGAAGAAGGAGACTAGTGGAAGAATAAAACGTAGCCTCCCATAGATGGGAAGTGGAAACTTCTGAGCCACTACAGGTATTCTATACCTGCTTTTCCCTCTGTTCTATAATTGTACTCACAAGATATTGTCTTAGCACACATGTGGGCAAAAGCTTTC